TTGGTTAAGGTGAGAAAACTATCAGATGTTGCTTGACTGCCTGTCTTAATATTGTCATTTTTTGTCCCAAATTCTATAATTGTTTCTTTAATTTTATTCTTGTATCAATTAATTTTCCTTTGGTTTATTATATCCGGAGATACTTGCATCTGTACTAGGAGATACCCTGAAATTCGAAGTTAAATAGAGTTGATGTCATGTGGATGCTCGGTTATGCTTGATGTTTGTGCCTGAAATGAAAATGCAGTTGTTGTACTGAGAAAAAAATTGATTTCAGCGTTGTTTTATTTTTGTGTAACGTTATTATGCATACTAGAGACACGATTCGATGTACATTCAAGTGATGATTTGCAGATGAGACGTCGTACGAGCTACAGAGATGTCATGGCATAGAACATTACGTTGGATTATTTTCCATGGCATCGGCTGGATTAGCCCATCGAAAAGATAAAGAAAATATAGGATTCTGAAAACTTGAAATTTTGTTTCGATTTTCCAGTTTAATTTTCCGTTTTAACAAGGTGAACAATGAAAGTGCAAAATTTGGCTTAGCTTGTTTGTCAAAATGTGGTAACTATATAAAAGTATCAATTGCAAGTGCAATCATCCTCCATCGCCTTATTACTTTTTAGTAAAATTGTTTATGATTATTATTAGAACTCCAAGAAACGTGAGGTACACCAATTTCATTACGTCACTTGGCCGGACAAAGGTGTTCCACAGCATTCCACAGCTTTACTGGGATTTCGATCAAAGATTCATGCTAGACACCAGGCTACTGGCGGGCCACTTGTTGTGCATTGCAGGTACTTAATAGCAATAATAATAATAATAATAATAGTGATATTGGAAGGCTAGATCTGCAAATGATCTTTGTTCACTTGTAACAATATTGTTACAAAAAAAAATTTAGATAAAAGGCTTCCTGGCATTCCAAAAGTATTGATTGCGAGCACAGAATCAGTACGAGAGCCAGGGATTTTAATTTTAAAGTAACTTTAATTTGTCACAACGGGGTTTTTGGTTTTTAAATGTTTTTCCGTAAATAAAAAACGTTTAGGAAAGCGTAAAGTGACTGGTTTGTTTGTTTGTTTGTTTGTTTTTTCGTTTGATCAGATTTATTTTGGTTCATGAAAAGTTGTAAACTTCAGTCATGGACCTCACTGTCCTTGATGCATACTGTCACCAGCTGGGGCTAATATTCTCACAATAGAATAATACGACATATGTCCTGCATGCATGTGTTTTGGAGTTTATGAAGGTTGCAATGAAACTTGCTTGCTTTGGGAGAATAGTAATTGTTTCTTTTTGCGCCGATCACTTCATTGTCCTAAACTGCACGTACAGTGAGGAAATCTCTTACTCTTACCTCTCTTCCATTGTGGGTGTTACTTGTTTTCCATTGTGGGTGTTACTTGTTAAAGGATCATTTCTTTCATATCCAGTGCTGGTGTTGGACGAACTGGTACGTTCATTGCCATTGATGCCATGTTGGAAGGCGCTAAGGAGAAAAAGAGCGTGTTTATCCAGAATTATGTGCAAGTGATGCGGAGATGTCGCCCTCATATGGTGCAGAAAGATGTAAGCAAACGTTAACTAACCTCTGATCAAAATATAATAACCTATTAATGACTAGCTATTCTTACAACAATGGTAGGAAAGGTGAAGGTATTGTTGATCTCTAGTGGTAATAATGGTGTTGATGACGATGCCATTGATAAGACTGTGATACCGTTAAAGCTCTAATTGAAGACTCTAGAGAGGCGTCTAATTAGAGAAGGGTATTTCTCTTCGTAAAGAAGCTGACCCATATAAATAACTGTTTGAGACTATTTTATGTCTTTTTCGTACAGGAGTATTCTCGTGCTGCGTGATTAGCTGATTTTATTTTCCGTGAAACGTAAATTTAAGAAGTTGTTCTTCGTGATCCGTGACTTGAAGGTTTTGCGTGACCCGTGAAGAACTTTAATTACTAACCGATATTTGTTGTTTCACCACTCTGTTCTACGTGATTTTGAGATGTGAGTCCTCCGAATGGTTAGAGTCGTGTATCGAAAATAATTTAGGTGTACGTTTAGCAATAAGGAGCCTTTACTTAGCCTTTCAAGACTTTGCTTTCTTCAAACGCTCTTTCTAGCGTAAGAGCAGGTTATTAAAAGAGGTACCTTACTTGCTTATTTTTGTGACTCGAGAAAATGAAATTTTGTTGTCCGTGATCCGTGATTCGCAATTTTTTTCCTCTCGTGAACCGTGCCAGAGACTCCCATGTAACCCCTGTGTGTTGGGTTGATTACTCCCTAATCGCTTCGTTACCCCGAGATGCATCAGAATGTGTCTTAACTTACAACATTGGTAAGGGACTTGTCAAAACTTTGTTTGTTCAGGAAGGTTTATAAAGAGGAAATTAAAAGGAATTAGAACTTATTTTAGGTAGCTGAGGACAATGCTGTTCATGAAGATGTCAAGGAAGATAATAGTGAAATTGAATTAAACATGTTGGCGATAGCAGTGAAGATAGAGATGAGGACCAGCTTGAGTTTTCAAGATTTAAAAATCTTCTAAGTGTCTTCAGTAGTCAAAAATGATAACGATAACTTTATTTTTGTCTAGGACCAGTATGTGTTTTTGCATCAAGCAGTGATGGAAGCCTTGGTGGGTGGAGATACTGAGGTTGCCCCTCATGACCTGAGAATTACAATGAACAAACTGACCAGAATTCATAAGACGTCCAAAAAAACTGGATATGCACGAGAATTTAAGGTAACTAATAACTATTACTTTGTGTGATTCACTAATATATCAAACAGGAGAGACCGTGTTTCACCTGTTCTTGACGAACTTTGAATTGATAAGAAATGTGGTTAATCACGATCTCGAGTGTTTGATATGTCTTCTCAGTCGAAACTAAAAATAGGGTGAAAACGAACAAATATCATCATATTAAGTTCAGATATCCAAACCATTGCGGTTGTGATTTCGTTCGTTTAAACGATGAATGAATTTTTGATAAGTTTGAGAAGCTGAGAATGAATGAATTAGTTGCCATCCTATTAAGAAGGCTTTGGACTCTACGTTCGACTCCACGTTGGACTGGTACCCGATGTCAAAGGTGATGATAGGGGTAACCCAAATTGTCGAAAAAAATATTGAACAACATTGCCAGATTCCTGTAATTTTCTTGTACACAATGACAGTGGTTTTGCATGCATGTAACTATTACAAGATTGAGTTTCTATTGTAAATGTGTTATTGATGACTAAGAACTCTGTTTTAGCGCCTGGAACTTGTGACTGATATTGCGGCCTCGCCAGAGGAGGCAACAGCAGCATTTAATCCATCAAACATCAACAAGAACAGATTTCCCAGTATTGTACCATGTAAGTCAATAAAGTGTTGGTGTAAAACAATTTGGTATTTAGAATAAGGGCACATGCCCTCTTATTTTGAAATTATTTCATTAAGTCTCACCAGATGTTGACTGTTCAGTACTCTAAAAGAGGTTTCAGTAGATGGCTCATATTGTGATAACACTAAATTGTAAATTGTGAACTATTTATCGTATGAAGCTGTTGTTTTGTCTTATCGTAGCTGTTTCCGTTGGAAATGATCTGTCCAAATATCAGACCTGTAACTTTCCCAACAACCTACTGAACTTATTCCTAACTTAACAATTCGTTGTGCGTGTTATTTCGAAAAGTGGCCAAGTATAGAATTTTATGTATTATATTCAGAAAACAAACAAGACCACTGCAAAGTACTGCTCAATAGCTTTTGCTGGAATGGTTACACACTAGGGTTTCATCCACAGACTTAAAAGTTTGAACAACCTTGTATAGCGTAATAAACAGCAGTACATGAAAGCACTGCGCAGTAGCTTTCGTTATTTTTCGTCT